AATGCTTTGTTAGCATTGCACATTCTTCGTTCAGTATTAAAATTGAAAATTTCCAGCAATCTTAAGCACTCGAAGCTGAAAATTCGAAGAGTACAAAGATACAAAGCCTGTTGAATGATTCCGAGAAACGAGAGATAAAATGACGACTTTCGAAGGAACAAAGGATATTAGTTTTAATCACCTCGTAAGTTTAATTTAATTGACATTCAATGATCGAGATAGATGCAGACAAGTCCTGTCTGATCGCGACTGTTAATATTAGACACGCGTGATCCTCGTAGTTCGATCTATCTATCTACCTGTAATTTTATAATAATGAAAAGAAAAAAAAAAGAAGAAGAAGAAACACATTAAGTTAAGAGTAAGTTTCTTGTGATTTAGCTATGTTTCACCGAAGGTGCAATTCGCTCGGAGATAAACATAAAGGGATAAAACTGACCCACTTCGTGGCGAACGTGTCTCTTGATATCGTTTCGAGGTTCAATTGAATATGAAAAAGCGTTTCTTCCCGTTGAATGATTAAAAATATAGGATGATCCGGCTGTGTTTAAGTATTCATCGAGCGTGGCAAGGAAAATGCGTTTGATCAACAGGATCGAGTTTCGGGATTATTCTAAACAAGTTTCTTTCGAGTAGCTTTGTAACTTTGTTCTCGTTTCTCTGTACGAACGTTTGATAATGTTAATTTACTGCGGCATGACGATGAACAAACTGAACACAAGAATAAGCGGGCATATCTCAAGACAGTTTGAAAGCTCACGTTGGATAACAATTCGCGTGACAATTGCATTCGAATTAGAATCCTGCGTCGCAGAGTCGCAGATACCTTTATTCGCGTATAACTGCGTGCGACGTCGCGTTTCATTCGGGATTAATTTCAGCTTCGACGTTAATTAAACAGTCGGCATGCCTCTTGAGCGTATGATATAAGCTCCTTAAAGATTTCAGACTCTCATCCTGCATAATTAGCGCTAATATCTAGTAATTATTTCGAACGTTTCCTGTATTGACCTAAATACACTGTCTCTATTCCTTGAATGACGCGCAATTCCATCTTCATCTCTAAACGACACATTCAGCTGTATCAAACGGTTGATTCGCTGTATCAAACAAACGGGAAAAAAAACAAAAAAAAAAAAAAAA